TAATCTACGATTTCAGAGGGCGAGGTTCGCTCTCGTCTCGAAGATGTCCGCTCATACTTACNGAGAACATGTCAAACGTACACGTCGAGGAGGACGTGTCCAGTGAAGAGGATCGCGATCACGGTAGGCCAGTCGTGCATAATCTACGATTTCAGAGGGCGAGGTTCGCTCTCGTCTCGAAGATGTCCGCTCATACTTACACACACATGGAAGAGACGGCGAGTACAGCGAAACGGCGTACCTTCTTTCGAAGACTGTGCATTCGTTTTCTCTTGAAACTCAGGTCAAGCGAAGAGCAAAGGAGGGGGGGGAGGTGCAGGCGACTCTTCGGGATATGTGGCGGGTGTAGTTTTTGGTTTCGAGAGCAAAGCACTCTTATAGCCAACGTTCGTTCTTTGCCTTGGGTGAAGTCTCGTGAGGTTGAATTTGGCGTATGTGTTGTGTTGTGCCTCGTTTTGACCTTGTGGGAGGCGCGGTGTCCTCTTTGTCGCTGTGCTTTCCCGACATATTTGGTCTCTGTGTTTCTGCGTAACCTACATTTTCCTAGTGTCGTTTTACAACCTTCGATATTTCTCAGGTGCGGTAGCGAGATCTTGGGCGAGATATTCACGGGGAGGACAGCGCCTAAAAAATAAAATAAAGCAAAAAATGAAGCCCATATCAACACCAGCGCACTACCGTCGTGTACATGTACGATGCGTAGGTCGTAGAACACCATCGCTTTCAGCGTTTTGGTGGTACAGTACGGGGAAATTCAAACGATGGTATGCAAGTATGTATTGCAGCACAATAGCAGCAGTGGTTGCGACCTTCAAATCACCTTGTGTCGTAGGTTTCAAACAACACCTCTTGTGGTCGCCTTTCTGCTGCGAATGCGCACCTTTTGACATATGTTTCGCCTTCATTGGCCCCGGGGATGGTACGCTAGTGGCCCCGGAATTTTAACGACACCTCCCCGCGTCAAAGACACGTTTTTGGGTGGGAAAGGTGGTGTGTCTTTAAAGCGGGGTCGACTGTATACTTCTTTTTTTCGGTGCCGGGCGCAACGCCTGACGCCGGATAGGCGCCTTCTAGCGCTTCAGTCCCATGCGTCAGGTCCTCAGGAAGTACGCCCAACTTTTTTTTTAACCACAGGAACAGAGTTCACTGGGGCCTGGAAGATGGGAGAGTCGTGGGGACCCCATTCTGTTCACAAACATACCTTACAACGTTCAAGGCGTACCCTTTTTTGTTCAGTGGTGACGCTCCTGCAGACTGCCAAAAATGGCAACCAACAATCAACCGCAGACCACGATAGGTTAGACGACAGAAGATGTTGGGGTTTGTGGTGGTCTGCGGTGCAACACGCAGACTTTGTTGTGGTCTGCAGCGAGGCAAGGAGACACAAGACTCAAAAGATGTTGTGGTCTGCGGTTGGTTGTTGGTTGCCATGTTGGCAGTCCGCAGGAACGTCACTACAAAAGGGGCATGCCTTGAACATTATGGGGAGGTGTTCGTGAACAGAAAGGGGTGCTAGATAACCTTTTGGCAGACGCAAAAGATTGACTGACGAAAGGAAATCTGCTTTTTTGTGAGGTGCGGCAGAAGTAAACCGTTGGCCGATCAGAACGCGGGAAGAAGGAGAGCGTGGTTGCTTTCTGTTTTCAGTCACTCGCTTCGCTGTGCTTGCCGGGTGCGAGCGAGTGAATCTGTGCGGTAGCCAAGGGTGTCTTCTGCGTGACGTTCCTTTTCTAACTCCGACCGACCGATGGCGGACCATGGGGGTCACGAAGATGCGGATCTAACCGTGAAAAGACCTGCAGCTGGAAATCGTACGAATCCGGAGGAGGATGCGGCGGGCGGCGATGGCAGCGGCAGCGATGGGCCACTGGCGGTGGTAGCGACACCTACGCAAGTCCTTGTTGGGAAGATCGGAGAGAATGGCGCGAGACGCTTGGTTGTGACAATGCATACGCAGCCGGGCCTGTGCCGCGAGCATGGCCCGCTCCAGCGGCTGCGAGCGCACCAAACCGGTCAACCCAAGCTTCAACACACCGATGATGGCGTCACATGTCAGGTCGACATGGTCCGCCACCGAGAGCTCTCCGGAATTGCCGACCGGAGAGAAGTCCAGCATGTTGAATCCCGACATGTCGCGCAGCTGCGGCAGCGTCTTGTCCGTGCACGACACTTGCGTCGGTGGGCGAACGCGGTGATGACGCGGGTCCTTCCGATGAGTCATTTCTCCACTGCGCCCGAGTCGGCTCGACAGCTTCGGCCTCCCTCCCGTTCCTCTCTTTGCGGGGGTATCTACGGCTTCTCGGCCTCCGGATGACATCTCAATTGCATGTTCGCGTCAAGGAGAAATGGTGGAGCGTCTGGGTAGACGAGTGGGGAACTGCCGCGTACCGAAAACTAGAACGGGGGTAGAGAGTCAAAGCGCCGGTCGACCGCTAAGGTGTGTTTCGCTTCTAGGGACCAAGGCACCTGCAAGTGGGGAGCGGACTGCAAGTTCCGCCATGTGCATGAAGGCGACGTTGGGCAATCGTTGGCGATGGTCGTGCGCCGGGCGGCAGCAGCAACTGAGGACACGGGCTCTGCATTTGGCGGGGTCAACTCCGGAGACGCGTGGCGCTGCGGGAAGAGACAGCTAGGCCAGAACTGCGTGAGTTTGGGGTCGCCGTGTTGGCGTCGGCGGGCGTGGGCGGAGACCGATGGGGGGGTGTGACCCGAGTTGTCTCTTCGATAATCCCAGGTGATCATTCGATTCGGTTGATTGCAGGTTGATTGCAGGTTGATTGCAGGTCATGTGAACTTCGAGTGTGGCAATCATGTGTGCTGCATTGGCAGCGGCGCGTTCACCCTCCGATAAGGGCGCGAGTCTTCGCGAGGTGGCCTCGGCTGGTTCCGCCTTGCTCAGAAAGTTTGGGGGGCGAAATGAAGTGTTCGTGGCGGCCGGTGGTGCCGGCTTCTTTTCACCCCATGTCGACGTTAAGAATGTCTACGAATTTTCGGTAACACGAAACGTTTCCCGCAAATCGATCGACTGCTTCTTGTGTTGTGCCCACTGGTGCACCAGCTGATGTTGTGGGAGGTGGGTGCTTGGACAAGGAGTTGAAACATGGCAATCACTCGAGCACACATACACTCCCATACACTACTCAGATTACAGACAAGATTGTTTCCGATGTTACGTTGGGGTGTGCCTTGGTGCTAGATGTCCGTGCAAATTTTGGGGTTGCGTGTTTCTCCCCTAGGGGTAGTGGACGAAGCCAAACATCGTAGTCGTTTCATGATCTGACCTTTGCAGCTGCTGAGGTACGTTCCAGCGTCAATGCCGATACTGATTGTTGGTCGAGGCCACGAGTTTGTATTGGGGCACGTGCTTCTTCATGTCTTGTCACGCACTCTGGTCTTGAGGCAATTGCATGGGCGGGCCTGATCTCGAAAGACTGCTTTGCCGGGTCGATGTACGCGAGGCGTTCCGCCAAGTGCTAGTTAGTTCATCATTCGCGAGCGTCCGTGTTTGGTTTCACTATCGGAGACTTTTTCGACCGTCGCTGTCAGTTCGGTTGGCGATCGAGCCCCGGTTTTTGGTCGCTGATTGGTTCTGCTCTTGAGCATGCACGCACATCACTACTGCGACTCACCGCCTTGAACCAGCCCCGCTCGTTGTTGAAGTAGATCACCGTGCAGTCCTTGATCTCATCCCACTTGTCCACGAAATCCCCCTGTATCATCCATCGTTGTTGTTGTTGGTGGTGTTGATTTTGGTACTGCTGGCTTCCGTTACAAACTGTGCATCGAATCGGAAACAATTTTCACCTCTATCAGCCTGACTCGCGCGAGTGCACTGACATCCAGCGCTGTGCCAGCCGTCTCACGCTTGACCATGTTGTAGAGGCGGACTGCGGCTTGGTGACGATCCCTGACCACCTCCACCCCCTGCACAGACGACAAATATAGAAAACGACAGCATAGAGAACATACACCCTGCGGTTCAGTTTACGTTGTGGTTTGTCACCACTTTGACGACAGCCATAAGATCAACAACGTAACAGGGTCATGTGTGTGTGTGTGTGTGTGTGTGTGTGTGTGTGTGTGTGTGTGTGTATTTCTTGAATTAGCACCGACCGCGCTACTATCCGGCTGACCAACGAAAAGAGGTCAGTGGGAGCAAATAACGCGCGAAAACGCCGTCCAACCAAAGAGCGCTGCCGAAAGGGGCGGGGGCGCAGGAGGAGTTGGACGGCAGCGTCCCGCATATAAAGTACAAGACGAGAAAACTCAAAACTACCAAGCAGCATTGCTGTTGCTGTGTCTCGTTGATGCTGGCACCAGTCCACGCGGTAAATACTTGACGTATCAGCCGAGGCCACACACGAGGAAGCAGGTAACACAGGGAATTTGTTTATGTTGATTGTTTTGCCCCACCTCCCCCCGGTGATAAATGCGACAAGGTTTTAAGCACCGCCTTTCATGTTACTGGTGAAATGGTACAATCGGAGATTTGTTGAGTGTACCGCGCATGCATATCACGCCCTTCCCTTTCGTTGGTGTACTGGAATGCGATCAAATATGTGTGTGACGTGCATGCATAGCACGCGCTTCCCTTTTATGTGACTGTTGGTACACGTATACAATCAAATATGTTGCATGTGCCGTGGATGCAATGGCAGCGCCTCCCACATTGGCAACAACGATGCCCGCTCGCAATTGCGCAATTTGACGCGTCTCCACCGGAGAAGTATGGGAAGGAAATAAGAAGGTAGTGAAAGAACTCGAGGCGGTGCAGATGAAGCAGCGAAAATCATCCTAGGATGCTCCAAGCGCACACGTAATGCAGCCGTCAGGGCAGAATTGGGGATCCAATCCCTACGGTCGGGAAGAGACGCGAGGAACCTGACATGGCAGTATCGCATGTGCGGGATGGGAGAGGAGAGGTTGCCGAGAATTGTATGGGAGGCGAAGTGGGCAAACAAAGAGAGGGGTAGACAACCCACGGAATGGGTCAAGGTGGTAGAAGACGTACGGAAGGGGCTCGACATCGACGAAGATGAAACGCTGGAAACGGAGGGTCTACAGGGGTTCAAGGGGAAGATATCTGTTGCTTGTGCCGAGAGAGAACAGAATCTAAGGAAAGAAACCAAGGATAAGGAGGGTCCAGAAATGTACGGAATGTTGAAGGAAGGAATAGGGTTCAAGGATTACGTTCATGGACCAATGGATGCAGGAACAAAGCTTAAGGTCAAATTCAGGACCGGGGACATAGGCCTTCGAGAACGTCGACGAAGACATAGGACGGTAGACGACGAAGACGACGAGTTCAAATGTGATTGCGGCTTCGAATGCGAAGACCGTGTTCATGTAGTCGCGGAATGTCCGTTGTACAAGAAGGAGAGGGAAGTGTACGTGACTGAGCTGGGAAAAATAGATGGAACGTACAGGGAGATGTTTGAGGCATGGAATAGAGAGGAAAGGACGGTAGCTGCACAAGGGCATAGGAGGCGGGTTGAAAAGGTGGGAAGGGATATCGTTAGGATAGACAGACTAGGGAAGACATTTTTGAGCCACCTTTGGCACAGTAGAAAGGAACGATTGGCCATCGGTGATCGGTCCTGTGGGAACAATTCTCCGTCCTCTCGAGGACGGAAGGTCAATGGTCTAACCGCTAAGTAAGGCATGCAAAACATAAAGAGTACGCCCACCCACCAGCGACTTGCAGCCCGCCCACGCAGCCGCCTGTGTGACGATCTGCCCGAGCCCGCTACCGATGTCGAGGAAGCAGTCGTGGCAAGTCAGGCCGCATATCCGAAAGATGAAGTCGGCAGCTCCTGCGCAGATCGAGCCGTACCTACACACGCCGTCGGAAGCACACATACGTTTGCATGACGTGCAATGGAAACCGCAGCGCACGGCCGTCCTGATATTCTGACAGTTCTGGAACATGTTGGAGAAATCCATGAACGATTTCGGTACTTAGCGGCACGTGGCGGCCGCATGGATAGAGTCAAGTTTTCGGTTTCGAGTGGCACTACTTTCGACAGTTCGGCGAGTGCAGAGCACGTACGGAAAAAGGCACGGGTTTTCAGCAAGAGATTGGGCATTTATTTGTTGCCTGTGTGGACGACACGTGGTTGAAGAGAATCACGACGTGACACGACAGGACATTGAAATAGCTTTTGTTTTTTTTTTGTTTGAAGGGGGCACACAGACAGCAGTCCTACTTACTTGAGCAAAGACAAGGAACTGGCAATCAAAAATGCGCGAAGACGGCGAGGAGATGGTTCTTCTCAATCTACAATCACCTGTAATTATGCTATAGCTAGAGAAGTAGCGAAGCCGATTTCCGTTTGGTGGTTGAAAAATCCCGAAACGACGGAAATTTCGGCTGTTGACGCAGCTGGCGCGAATACCGAGACGAGGGTCAAAAATCGCCTTCGCTACTTCTCTAGCTCTGGTTTCTGCGCACACAGCGAAAAAAAACGATCCCCGATTGACCTAGAAGCCGACGAGTGGCATTGATTACCACATCACCTCCTATGGCTAAGGGCGGTGGAAAAAACAAGGGTCGCGTCAAGTCCAAAAAAAAAAACATCAAAAACTTCACGACTTCTCTTCTCGAGAGAGAAGGATGCACGTTTGCGGACGCAGCGACGGCTGGGCGCGCACGCAAGGCTGCCGAGAAGGCCGACTACCCTACCCTGAAGCGTACGGCCGCTGCTACCCTCGAGAAACTCAAAAAAGCTCAGTTGGCGAAGCGTAGAGAGGCTCGAGTCCGCAAATCGGCGGAGCAGGCCGCAGAGGAGGAGCGTTAACTGTTGGCGTGAGAGCGAGTCCTGCGCGCCGATCTGAAGAAGGAGCTTGGGGAGGAGCAGCGACGTAGAATCGAGGCGGAGCAACGGGCGCAAGCAGCGATCGCACGCGAGCAGGCCTCGGAGCATCAGAGGCAGCAGCAGAGGGCTGCTGATGGAGAGGCGGTGGCGAACGTCCTGACCCAGCTGGGAAACTTGCGGTTGGAGAAAAAAATGCTTCAAGATCAACAGCGCGAGATGGTTGAGATTTTTTGTCCACAAGCGGCAAGCGTGATGGCGGTGCAGCAACAGCAGCACAACCGGAATCCGCTGCTTTCCGCGAAAGACCAGCTCATCCGCACCCGGATGGAGGTAGAGCAAGCGAGGAGGGAGCTGGAGGCGGCGTCGGCGTGGGGGAGGGTTGCCGAGACGAGAAATGCTACTTTGAGGAAAAAGGTGCGTGCGTATGTGTGCGTGTGTCTTTGCCCTCGTGTGTTTTTGGCTTTGCTGTTCCCTTCTAGTGCGACTACTTCGTATGCCTCCGAGTCCTACAGGTTGATAGAACCAACATAAGCAGGACGATACCAAGAGAGGCAGGCGAAGCTGCATGCAGCTGCTATCATCGACAGACTTGGTGTTGAGAGCGAGAAAATACAGCAGGAGCATTAGCAGCGCGCATTTTTTTTTGTTTTCCCGCTCTTACAAACAACCGCCCTGCTGTTTGCCCGTTGCCCTTTTTCTTGTTTTCGGCAACAGAACGGGCGGGTCCGCCGTCGAAGCGGGCGGGTCCGCCGTCGAACCGGTGGGGTCCGCCATCTATGACAGGTCGGGCTGTGGGGTACTGGCTTTTTTGTGTGTGCCAGCAGCCTCAGTGAGCGCAGTGACGGGTGTCCACCTCGCGCATTGCTGCGTGAACGCGCTTGACCATATTCGTCCAGTCTGTTCGTGTGTGTTCGTGTGTCTTCTTATTTTGATTCAAATTCCAAACGTTTTTATTGGTCCAGGAAGGAAAAGCGCAGTCTATTTGCCACGAAAAGTTCACCCGGTTTGGGACACAGTTTTGGCCTCAAAATAGGGGTAACCCCAGGGTCTAACAGTAACAACAACAACAACAACAACAACAACCTCAACCACCACAACAAGCAGCATCAACAACATCAACACCCAAAACAACAACAAACAGGGACACCGAAAGACATCGACAAGACTCCCCCGTTTTCGCCTCCCTCACATGTGCGTGGAATGTCCCTTGACGATGACAGAACCCTTGATACCCAGGCCACGGTCATCTTCGACCGCAGATCTGCCAAACAAAAGTGGGAAGAAAACGCACGATCAGGCACACGCGGGGTGTCTCCAGAGCACCATATTCGTCCGATTTTTACATCACAAACGATGAACAGCGAACGATATAGACACCAACACAGTAACCGTATCCTAGCCTGAAGGTCGGTGCAAAACCTAAACCTTCTCGTCCTCTTTCGACTAGTAACGGTGAAAAACCAACAAAATCACCCGCAAGAAAAAATAACATGATCCTCCGTCCATTCAAAAGCAAAAGCGATCAGAGGCGTGAAATTCCGCAGGATAGCCGAACGCTGGTCGCGTCGAAGAAAATGGAAAGCGAACAACCACGCGAGGGAGGAAAGGCGGTAAAGTTCCTATCTGTGTAGCCCCGGCTGGTGCATCAAACAGATACCGAGAGGTGTGCACTTGCGCGCCCAGAAAAACTAGATGCAATGAGAAAAAATATGAAATAAATACAACATACGTGGCATGACTCCAAGAACGATCAAGTTGGACATACCTCTCTTTCCCGAATTCAAAAAAGAAGGATCTGGACAGCGCAGCCTTGAAGGTCCTATAGCGCACGATTCTGAGAGGGGGGTGGGGAGGGAGGGGGTCAACATCGCCGATGGGGCAGAACAAAAATAAACTTGAGTACAGACAATGTCCCCCCCTATTCTGTGCGAAACAAGCGTTACTGTGAAACAGAGAGGGAGGTTTCGCAACCCTAATCCAAACCCGCAATCTCTACTAACACAAGCATGATACCCTCGCGACGGCTACTGCTATGCGTATGTAGGACATGCCTCGCTCCAATACATGGGCGATGCGTGTGTCTTTCACCGTTGCTGCGCCAGGGCCGCCTCTTCCAGGGTGGCGACAACGCCTCCACACTCCGGACACAGGAGGTCACCCCGCCAACCCCACAACTCCTCCTCTTTTGGTGCTGCCGCCGCCGCCGCCGCCGCCGCCGCTGTCAACCCTATCACCGGACCCACATCCGTCGCCGCAACCCCCGTTGCCGCCGCTACCGGCAACGACGCCCCCGCCACGGCAACGACTTTCATGCCCGTCATCGACGCCGCCACCGCTACCGCTGTTGTGATCGCCGTCAACCTCTTGCCGACGGCATCCGCTTCTCCAATCTCGATAACGACGCCCGACTTCTCGCCGACACCGGCGGGCGGCAGGTTGCCGCGGTTGCCCTCGCTGCCGCTTGAGTCGTCGTCGTCGTCGTCGTCGTCGTCGTCGTCGTCGTCGTCGTCCGCTTCGCCGGCGAGACGCTCGGTCGCTAGAGCCTCCGTAGTCCCCGACATCTCCGTTCCGCCGTCATCACCACCGCCGCCGCCGCCTTCCGAACAAGCGTCTCGCCCCGCCTTCGAGGGCTCCCTCCCTGCGCGAGTCTCGAGGCACATCATGTGGTAAGAGTTACCCCGGCACTTGTCCGACTTGCACCGCCACCGCTGGTGCTCCACCTCCTTCCGGGCAAGAGACTCCAGCCCCCCACCTCCCCATTCAGCCGCGGAGCCCCCCGCAGTCCCAGCTCGCGAGACGGTGGTCGAGCTAGCAACGGTGCCGCTGCCGAGGAGGCAAGCAGGGTGGTCGCAGAGGTCCGGCGGGGGTGATACGGCGGCGGAGGCAGCGTGGGCTGAGTGTGTCCTTGACGATGCCCCCCCCGTGCTCCCGCTCCCGCTCCCGCTCCCGCCGTTGGTGAACCTCCCACACCTCTTCCGTTTCCCTGACGGCCTACCTTTCCCACTAGAACCTGTTCGGGGACCGGTGGGGCCGTTTTGGCCCTGTCGGCCGGTGGACCGGCCTTCCAAAAAAAAAATGAGGGGGAGGGGGAGGGGGGGGGGGGGGGG